CATGTAGATACATTGTCTGGGAAACTTCCCACAGGATGGGGAGCTAGTGGAGGAGATGGTCAGTGCAGCATCCTGCTCTGTAGTTTTGCTGTGGGTACACGTGTGTGTGTGCACAAGACCATCTGCTCACGTGCTTGGGAGGTGACAGTGGTGATGGTGACAGTGACAAGGAGTGGGAGACAGCCCAAGGGACACTGGGAGACCCTAGGAGAACAATAAACCATGGTAGATTCTCACGATGGAGCACCAAGCAGCACTTAGAACACTTAGTGCTACAGAGTAGGTAACATGGAAATGCGGGCTGGTTGTGTTTCCCCACTAAGTGTTGGGGCTTTGGTTGTTGTTGCTTGAGGTTTGTTTGATTGGTTTGTTTGTTTTGTGGTACTGGAGACTGAACCCTTACCCTCACACTAGCTACATCCCCAGTCCTTTTTATACATTTTTTATTTTGAGACAGGATCTCACTAAGTTGCCCAGGCTGGACTCAAACTTGCCATCCTCCTGCCTCAGCCACCCAGACTGCTGGGATCACAAGCATGCCCAGCTTAAGTATTATTTTGTAAGAAACAAAATGATATATGTAATACAATACTACTCACATAAATTTTTTAAATACATACAGACAAAATAACAACACATCTTGCAAAAACATATATAAATGAAAGTAAACATTAACACATTAGAAATGATGTTACTGGAGGGAGAAGAAGAATTTCTGAAATGTTAGAGGACTTATATTACCTGACTCTAAGGCTCACTATAAAGCTACACTAACCAAGAGAGCGAGCATAGTATTGATATCAAGATGGACAAATAGATCTGTAAAACAGAAGAGGGAGCCTAGAAATAAATACCCACACATACAACATCAAATTTTTTTTTAAACAAAGGTATGGAGTGATTCAGTGACTATCCATATTTAAAAAGTGACTTTGGATCTATGACTTGAAATCTATTAAGATTTCACTCAAAGGGGGTATCACAATCCCCAACCTGCAACTCTACTACAAAGCTACTGTGATAAAAACAGCATGGTACTGGCAAAGAAACAGGCTTGAGGACCAGTGGAACAGATTAGAAGGTGCAGAAACAACGCCAGACACACTCAGCCATCTCATCTTCGAC